CACAGTGAGCGGCCGTCCAGAAGCCGGCGACTGATCTGCCTCGCCCGGGAAGAGCGCAATGATGGTGCCAACTTGGGCCAGTAAAGCAACGTCTTCCACAACTAGACTGAAGAACAAAAGGACAGCAATTTGTCTGTTGCCCTTCCCCCAATTCCCCAGCGCTGTTCCCATTCCCCAATTCCCCAATAAAAATCTTTTAAAAAAAAGAAACCAAGTCCTTACCTCACAAAAGAACTGGACATGAGTCCAATGAATCCAACAGCAGCACCCACAACAGCTGTTTTCCGACAACCAAATAGGTCCGTGAAGACGCTGACTATTGGGCAGCAAAAGAAAATCATCCCCATGGAGAGAGAACTTACCCATGCTGTAAAGAGAAAAAAATGGGAACATTACGACATGGTACATTATAATTGTACTTATTCCATAAGACATAATACCTATTTAGGAAGATATTAATGCAGAAAGGGTATTACCTGGACTGATGAATGGGGGAAAGTTGGAATAAATTAGTAACAAAACTGAAACATAGCTCAAAGGATTGGCCAATACTAATTGTAATTAGCATAGCAATTATTGGTGTTTAATCGAGTTCTTGAAAAGTTTGTATTCTTAAATAAATCAAACATTCTTCCATGCAAACACTATTAATGTCAACCCTGATTGCTATGGTTTTAAGCAACTTTTAATCCATGAGAAAAAATTCATTAAAAAAATATAATGACATACATTTAAGAATGCATGCTTAGGTGGTCAAACTGCAAAGAAATTATGACCACTGAAGTCAGGATAGTAGTTAACCACTAAGTGGAGGAAAGAGAATTATAACCATTTGGACCCAGTGGTTAAGAATTAAACATTTGCCTAAAGTCTGGGCTTAGTTCTTTGGCTAAGGGAATCAAGCTATACACAGATAGACTATTTGTTGACCTGGATAATAGTTACTGGGTATTCACTTTATTTATAAAATCAATCATACATTACCTTCTTTTCTGAAAGTATCTTATCTTTGACAATAAAAAAATTAAGAATCAGAAGTCATAATTTCCTGTCCTGATTCTGTAAAACCCCAAACAAAAGAAAGCCGAAAGAGACTGAAACAAATACTGAGTACAATTTATCATAATTTTGCGCCAAAGAAATGAATGATCTCATAGGATATCAAGTCTGTAAATTCTTCTTAAAGCATATAAAATAATGGGGACTAAGGGAACATGGGCTATAAAACAGTTCTGGGTCCAAATCACCCAACTCTTTTTTTTTTAAATTTATTTATTTTTTATTGTTAGTTTCAGGTGTACAGAACAATGCAATAGTTATCCTTTTCACCCTTTGCACAGAAACAATCTCCCTCCCCCATCCACTGCCCTCCCACCCCCGATATCATGCTTATCTATTACAATTCCATTGACTTCATTCCCACTCTCTACTCCGCATCCCATGGCTATATGTATATATAATTATAGTTGACATACATTATTATTCAACATCAGCTTCAGAAATACAGTGCAGTGGTCAGGCCTCTATGCTGACTATGAAGTAGTCTCCCTAACAAGACATGAGTCCATCTGGCCCCCTAAAAAATATTTACAACATTATTGATTATATTCCCCAGACTGTCTTGTCTATCCCTGAGGCCATATTTTAGTTACCAATTTGTATTGTCTCATCCCTTCTCCTTCTCCTTCATCCCCACCAGCTCCCAACTAGCAAC